AAAAAAAAATCTGCAATGAAAAACATACAAGCGTTTATTAACACATTTCGCGAAATATCGTTCGAATTTGCAAAAACGCATCGTTGCAAACTTAGAAAGTGTCTCATGCAAATTAATCATTCCGATCTGTATAATTCTAGTGTCAATGTCTTTAATCGTTGACACTTTAATCGACGAGCTTCGGTGAAATCGGAGTTTTCGAGATGCAAAATAGAACACTGCAAGAGGAGAAGCGAGCCTGAATTGAACAAGGATTCTTACAAACCCCAAGTGTAATTTCTAATTACTTGTGGTCATCGAGAATTGTAAATCTTAATAACCAGTTACACAACCACGTCGCACCGCCTCCAAGTAAACCAGAGCAGACGTTTATCCAAGTTTTCTGCCGGTACTCGATGACGTTGCATCAAAGGCCCGTTTATCTCTGTCGTCGGCCGTGAGAGTGCAGAAACTCCCTGGCGAGGGCTATTTTACATCCTCGTCGACACACCAGGAGGCGAAGAACCCCGGGACCCTGGTCGCTGAACGCGGTCAATCAAAGGAGAACACCCTGATCATCTAAATAATTCTCTAGCTCTTCAGACTAGATGAGCGTTTCACGCAACACCGAGGGATTCTTGCGTAGCAAACGTCGACGTAGATTTTCGCGGGACGTCGTGCCGATTAACGTTGATCCAATATTTACTGGATTGGAAGAAATAATCTTCGATTCCAAGGGAATCGGCGATCCAATGTTTGGAAAGTCCATGCATTGCTCTCTCGAGGGAATTCCCAAACTTTGCGAGGCAGTGCAACTGTTGCGGCTGTTGCAGTTCAAAACTGTGCGAGAGACTGTGTTCTTCGTTTCGGAAACTTTAAAAACAAAGGAAAGAATACCACGGGTATTTCGCGTGAAAAATCGATGGTTCGAAACGAAGGCGCTCGATCTGTAATTTATCGCGCGATTTGAGGCGGTGCTTTCTTGTGTCAGCTTTCGTTTCTTCGATTCGCGGAAATAACCGTACGAGGGCGTTCTGCCCTCCTCGTTTTTCATTCAAACGAATGAGAGGAGGAAGGACAGCTTTGTCGCTGTTTTGTTAATGACTTGTAGCTGGCTTGTTATCGATAAGAAAGGCACACGTGGCACTACGTGTCCTACAGATGGTCAAGAAATTACTTGTAATGACGATTCAGCCAGCCGAGAAAATCGCACAGAACTCTCGGCGATATCGCTACGTTTGATCGTAAACCTGTTTCGCGTAAAGAACGGGATCAGGAAGAAAAAAAAAAAAAAAAGAGGGATTTATCCCCGTTCAAAACTGAGCGTGATATTCGATCCGGCCGAGAGTCGGGGATGGTGGCGTTACCTGGCGCCCTTCCAACAATGTGTTCACACTTTTTACCTCGAGATAAATTCGCGTGCCGCGCCCGGCCACGCCAATTGCCCGACGTTTCCTCGATCCTACGGCCGCCATATACAATCCATATTTACTTGCTTACTCGCGCGTCTTACTCATTCGTTCTATCTAACGCGAGGCACGTTCGTTTTATTAATTTTATCTAAATTTGTTTCTGCTTTTTTTTAAACAACTTGGACTTTCCCCGTTTGATTTGCTTCTGCAAATTGTGTCTCAGCTCTGAGGAACTAGATCACGGATATTCATGCAAAATTCGACATTTAAGG